TACGCTCGGTTCGCAACAAACAACTGCACCTCCCAGTCGCGAACCATTTCAACTCCCCCTCCCATTCCTCAGACGACATGTCCATCCTGGGCCTCCTGCAGTGCCACAACGATGCCACCCGAAGGTTGCAGGAACAGCAACTCATATTCCGCTTGGGAACCCTGCAGCCCAATGGTATCAATGTGGATTTCACAAGTTTCAAAATCTCCCCTCCCCCCACCGCATCCCAAAACCAGTCCAACTCGTCCCTGCCTCCCTAACCTGTTCTTCCTCCCACCTATCCCTCCCTCCTCCCACCTCAAGCCGCACCTCCATCTCCTACCGACCAACCTCATCCCGCCCCCTTGACCTGTCCGTCCTCCCTGGACTGACCTATCCCCTTCCTAACTCCCTACCTACACTCACCTTTCCTGGCCCCATCCCCGCCTCTTCGACCTGTTTGTTTCCTCTCCACCTATCCTCTCCTCTATCCCTCTTCTATCCGCCTCCCACTCTCTCCCTATTTATTTCAAAACCCCCTTCCCCTCCCCCTTTTCTGATGAAGGGTCTAGGCCCGAAACGTCAGCCTCTCTGCTCCTATGATGCTGCTTGGCCTGGTTCATCCAGCCCTGCACCTTGTTGTCTCGGATTCTCCAGCATCTGCAGTTCCTACTAACCCTTACCTGGTCTGTCCTACTTGTGAACTCCAGACTCACAGCAATGTAACTGACACTTAACCGCCCTCTGGGGTAATTAGGGATGGGCACTAAATGCTGGCCTAGACAGTAATGCCCACATCCCATGAATGAATAAAAGGTCAGCATTCCAATTAGAGCTCTCAAATCCTACTTTACTGTCCTTTCCCCATACCATTTTAAATATTAACTCATTCCTTCTAAATAATGCTTATGCTTGCTTTACCATGGATGGTAACTTATTCCATGTTGTTCTCATATCTGTGTGAATAAAATTTTCTGTGGATTCTTCCAGCAATTGTCCCGAGTTTAAAGGCTGTACTTTTTCTCTCATGAAAGAAAAGGCTGAGGGATGACCCAATAGCGGTTTTCATTATGAAAGATTTTGGCAACGTGGATTCAGTGAGAACACATCCACTTAGGGGAAGTGTGTAACTAGGGGCCTTCAATGTACGATAGTCACCACGAAATTCAATATGGCAATCAGTAAAAAATTCTCACTCACTGGTTTAAGGGAAGCTGAACAAACATACAAGGCAGAACAGAATAGTCAGTTACCATTGTAGATTTAGTTGAGAAAAAAAGGAAGAAAACTCAAGTGAAGCATAAACACCTGTCCAGACAATTTGAGTTGAAACCCAGTTTCTCACCATTCTAATGCTGTATATCCTATTTAATGTCCACTCAATGATGAAATAGTGAAACAAAATCACTATTAACACTCCTAAAGCTAAATAAATCTATTAGATGCATTCTAAATCTTCCTGGCCTTTCAGTAAAAATGTCTTTGTATACAGTCCAAAGCTTAGCTCAATATTCCAAGTGTGCTTGTACTGATGATTCATTGCAAAGTTGCATTGCTCCTGAAATGTTGTTTATCTGCAGAACTGCTTTGCCTTTTTCTTGCTATTTTCTTTTATTTGAATGAACTGCAGAAACTTGAAAACATAATCTAGGCTGACACTTGGTTTAATAATGTGTAGTATTGCACAAAGTTACCATGTTTCGGGAGAGATGTTAAACCGAGGTGCGTTTTGTTGCCTCAGGTGGCTGTAAAAGATCTCACTGCTTTGTTATGAGCAGAAGAAGAGTTCTCCCCAGTGTATTTGCCTATATTTATCCAACATCACTAAAAGAGATTTTAACATCTGTTTAACATCTGTGGGCCCTTGCTGCATCCAAATTAGCTGCAGTTTGTTGTCATATATTACAACAAAGGCTCTACTAAAAGTGCATTTTATTGTCTGTAAAATGCTTCAGGATATCCCTGTGAAAGGTGCTATATAAATACAAACATTTTCTTTCATTCTAAAGCTGCTTCTGCTCTAGCCTAATCGTAACCTTGGCGCGGCCGTCCTGCTATACCGACGCAAGCTTTTTAGACCGATTGTCTTTATGGTTAAGAATGAGAGTAGTAAGTGACCAGCTTTGTGTCCTGGGCCTGTACTCAATAGGAGCTGAGCTGGGAAGCATTCCTGCTCATGGGATTCTGAGAAGGAACAGAATTCCATTCTGTCAGTCCCGTGCTAGAAGTGGAAATAGAGCATTAAGCCTTATGTTTGACTACAAGATCAATTTTTAACCATTAACAACTCAAACTCATTTCCTCCCCTTTCCATCAATTTTATCACTAATGACCCATTTTGATGTAAAGTTACACATCAGCAGCCAGCCAAATCTCCATTCTTCATGCTTGAATAATGAAAGTCCTGCCCATGGAGATATCATATCATAGTGCTTCCACACTGTAGGGATTCTAGTGGAAACCATTTTCCTCAATCCATATTCTTTTCATGTTCAGAACCATTTAAGTGAGCAAATCCTTTTGATGCCTAAATCTGCAACAGTTTCTCTTACCATTGGCAGAAATCCAGGAGTTCGCACTGTAGCATTGGGAAGGTCACGGGTCTTTGAGTTCCTCATGTGACGCTGAAGACGCCGAATCGCCACCTCTTGTTTCAAAAGGTCAATCTCAGTCTTCAGAGCCCTCATTTTCTGGTAACTATCTTTCTGGATCAGTTGATCACTTTCATCTCCATACACTAAAAATGAAATTTTAATCTTTAATTAGAATGTTTTATTCCTGTCTTGAAACAAGTGGTGTTAGTGCTTGGAAACTGAAGCCTTTTATCATTTATATCAGTGTGAAGCATTTGGCAATCAATGTACAGCTACCTCTTCTCTGCTTCAATAATATGTCTGAACCTCAAACTTCACTAACCTGCACAGCTTGCAACAATGTCGAACTTAACTCACTGCATCTGCTAATCTAAGACCTCTTAAACACCTTGCTGTAAGAGCATTATTCAACTGTAGCTCAGCGACTGGCCCTCTCACCCGAATCAAAAAGTTGTGTGTAAGTCCCACCAGAGGACTTGAACAGAAATGTCAAGACTAACACTTTAATGAAGCACTGAGGGAGTGCTGCACTGTGGAAAGTGCAGATAAGATGTTAAATGGAGGCACAACCTGCCCTCTCAGGGAAACAGGTGGATTTCACAGCACTGAACAAGAACTGTGGCATTCTCATTGGTGTCCCTCAACCAACATCACAATAAAACTTGACAATGTGGCATCACATTGTCTATAGCACCTGGCTGCACACTGGCTACCATGCTTTTCATGTAATGACAGTGATTACATTTCAAAAGTACTTCATTGGCTAATTTGCACTTTGGTACATTCCAAGGTTGTGAAATGTGGAATACAAGTGCAAGTTCTTTCTTTAAAGAGACAAAGTGGAATGCCATTTATTTATTTTTAAATTGGAAATCCAATCAAGTACAATCACGAACATATCCTCACAACATTATGGTACACCTAATTATAGTACTGGATTTTAAAGAAAAGTCATATTGAACTCAAAACATTAATGCTGTTTCTCTCTCCACAGTTCTGCTGAGTTTCTCCAGTATTCTCTGTTTGTATTGGTAACATTTGAATAGAGATATCAATGCTATATACTAGTTATTTTTAAAAAATCCATCCTACTCTGTTGCAAACACAGAACCATATTGTTACCTAGAATACTCCTCCTCCCACCCACCTTCCTGCAAAAATGCTAT